GCAGTGAAATCCACTTAAATAAAATGAACCACCTTTTTTATTTTTGGAAGTATTTAATAAATCTTCATTCTAGTAAAATTTTTCATGTATACAAACAAAATTTAAAAACTTTAAAGCATTACATCATAATTTTCGGTCTTTGTTGAGGGAGGAAGAGTTGGTTGATAGTTGATAAACGTGCAATCTGTAGTGAACTTGGCCGTTGTTGGATCTCACACACATAATCCATGGATGCAGTGCCATCAGCCCATCATCCCCTCCTTCCAGATATTTGTTAATCAGATAAGGTCTTGTCGTTCATCCATTTGGGGGTATTCGATACAGCAACTGCCACATCAACAAAAACAATACTTTTTACATTTGGGAAAATCTATGATACGGAAAGAGTTTTACCCAATAAAAATCCACCCATGAATTTTGCTAAATAACACCTGATTCGCTACTAAATTTATGATTCCAATTGATTGGTCCGGTGTGGATATCATATCTTTTCCATATTATAGTTGAATCCCACACATTTTTGCTGATGTGGCAATTATTTTTGTTTTCAAAAAATAAAAAATAAAGCATATTGTTGAACACCCACTTGATGAGTCCTAATTAACTGAATTTGATGAGTGTGTTACTGTTTAACTAAGAACAACGCCTCATCTCAGCCATTAAGGCTGTGTTTGGTTGCTGTGCAATTTTATTTCCATTAGTACAAAATACATAGGAATGCAAATGTAAAAAGTGCAAATTTTTGTTTAATTTTATTTTGAATTTTACTTTATTCTGCTTCATGTCTTAAATTACTTTATTTGTACTGTAATCAAACAAAATAAGCTAAAATTTGAAACAAAAATAGGTCAGAATTTACACTTAAATCATTTGTACTGTCATAGTTTTGCTTCGATGCAAATTTATTTGCATTGCAACCAAAAAAAGCCTAAGTGTCTATACTAGGGGGGCAAATGAATTGGATCCAATCCACTCTGATTTGGTCGAATTTGGATCACCTATGTTCGGATCAGATCAGATCGGACTTACCAATAGGATTTGAATGCAAATCGAGTACTAATCAGATCCGACATAATGAATATACCCTAATTTGAATCTACCCGATCTGTTTGCATCTCTAGTCTATACCTCACAATCATTATCACCTCTCTCAATTGTGGGGGCATGCCTGAGCTGGGGGCCAAAAACAGACACAGTCATCAAGTGCAATCTGGATTTGCTATTGACAAAGCGTTTCCCACACCAACTTTACACACACATTGCAGCCAGAATTGAAAACATCTTCTGTACTGGTTTGTTGTTTGTTTTCATAGAGGTGATGAGAGACGAAAAGAGAATAAGAGATAAAAGAGTGGCACTAGAAGTCGTTTGACAATAGCTACGTATACGGTACGTGGGGTGGGGACAAATTGACACAAGGACTAAGGCAGGAATTGGAGATTGAAACTTCATAAAATCGATATTAATCTTGTTGGTTTCCTAACATGGCCTCCTCACTCAACGCCGCAAAATGAGATTTGACTTCAGTTAAGCCCTTCCCATTAACAAACAATGCCAATGATTGCGGGGGGATCTAGGATAATTTAACGGTTTGATTGACAACAGTTGTATCAATATCATATTATTTTTTGAGCTTTGCAGGGGGTTAGAGAGGGACAAAGATATTAAAAATGAGAGAGAAGATAAAGAATAAGGAAACACCGCCAGAACAAGGTGGATCCATGTGATAAAGAAGAGTGGCAGTGATTTTTGGGGATGTGCTACTCCGTCTTGTGTACGTAATCCAATGTTTTAGAAATTAACTTTTAGGTATTGGTTTCTGAGTCAGCGGTTCAATTGTCCGGGTTGAATGGTTCAGATGATTATTAGGGTAAATATTTTATATGAAAGGAGAATTGGAGTGGAGAAGAGATGTCGGCTGAGAAAGGAAGGAGGGAAGAAGAAGGAAGAGGGGGAGGATGGTTCGATGTAACTGGCGGCGGCAACAGTAGATCTGAGTTCTGAGTTCAGATCCAAGATTCTCTGCAGTCTTCAACATCTTCTTCTTTTGAGTAAGCAATACTTAGGAAAATAAACTTTCTCTAATCTCCACATAAATTTAAAAAACAAAAAACATGAATTTCTTGGTCAAGGTTTAAATACCCCTCCCCTTCTCAAAATCTAAAGAAAAAAAAAGAACACCTCCTTAAAGAAAATACATGAGATTGAGGTTTGAATAATATCCCATTTTAATTTTCAATTATTGGCATGCATGCCACTTTGATGGCCTCAATTCCCATAAAATGAGAGGGTGAGTTTTTCGATAATCGATTTGTTTTTGAAAATAAAAATAACTGTCACATCACATTAATAAAATTGTATTATTTTATATTTTAAAACAAAAACCGATCATGTTATCCAACACATCTTAGTTTTCTTAGTGTATTTTTACTGGTCTAATATGAAATGAAGGAAAAGGGAATTCAACCTTTTTTTTTGTTTCAAGAAATGCTATTAATTATAAGATGTGGAAACAATTCTATATTTTCAATTTAAATAGTTCCACATATAAAAAAAAGTTGGAGGCTTCATGATTACCCACCTATATTATTACTATAATTGTGTTTGGTACAGATGATGTATATTGTTGATGTGTAAGAAGTATGATGAATGTTTACGCCAAGCTAGGTGTTGCAATATTTAAGGGAAAAATGCTTTTCGTTGAAAACCTATTATCTAAGGAGGCGTTTGGCATTGCATAGCCGTGGCCCGTGATGTGTTGAACCTCAAAGAGTTGTTTTTGAGACGAAGTACAATGGGTAATATTTTATTTTGCTTTTTGAGACAAATGCATAGGCGCCATTACCCATTAAGCACCAAATATGACAAATAAAGCAAGAATGCCCTCAAATTCAAGAAACATATGCATTCTCTCACGCTCCATGGACATGACTAAATGTAAATTGTGTCAATTTCGTTTCAAGTCGAGTTTTTTAAAATAAATATGTTTTTTTTTTTGGTATCTTTAAGTTGCAAGTCATAACTTCATATACTTTGATTATGACAACTAGCTTTTGAAATTCCGAAGCTGAGTTAGGCTTAAATTAAACTACCAAAATAGCTTTATATAATAGTTACTTTCTAGGCTCAATTTGGTCTCTTCCTAGTTTTTCCCCAAATATAAATTTTTAGCGTTTTCATGTGGGGCCCACCTTACTAAGTTCAAGCCCTCCCAATCGAGTGCTAGTGTTGAAATAAGTAGTGTTTTCAAAATCGGATCGGACCGGATCACAAAACTGGGAATCAGTCATCTGACCAATTCCGTTTTTACCCTAAAACCAAAAACCGTTGATTTGGTTAGTGAATTGTTGAACTATCGATTCAGACAATAGTTTTTGGTTGTTTTGTGTTTTTTATTTTTTATTTTTTTTAATTTTTTAGTTTTTGTTAGAGTAGGCCATCCTTTTGGATCAGACAGTTGGACCGTTTGACCTTAGTAAGATTGTTTATTTAATAAACATTTGTCTTGATTTATGTGTGATCCAACCATTGAAGGAAGTTTCATTTTAACATTCCCCCAATACCAAGGTGTTTATTTACTGTTCAGCTTATGGTGCCTAATGGTGCCTAACTGTCAAACAATACTAATAAAACATTTATCAACCACATTTTCCTGGTTTAGATGATAAATCAATCACCAATGTTTTTCACAGACATACCAAACATCCCCTTAGGTGTTCACTCTTAAATCTTGATTATTTCCTTTCATAGTTCATTATACATGCCTTTGTTTTGTATTTCTTCTCATCCCCAAAAAATATAAATTTCCACTGAAGTTTCTTTTAGTGGCTTCTCCCAAGCAATAAAAAAAAAGCAAAAACAGTCCAAATCGCTTTCGCCCTCCCAAACAGGGCCCCTAAGCGTGCTAAGTATAACTAAGAAGCTTGGCCCAGCCGCCCAGGCCAACTTAGCCCATGATCACACATTCACACTTGCCTTTTTACTAGGGGTGCAACTTGGTCAGGTTGGGCTGGGTTTATGGTTTACTCTGGTCTGACCCTAAGATTTGGGCTCTTAAGGCCTGAGTTTAGACTGAGAACAAGGTCAACCCTGATTTTCCCAATCCAAACCCAACCGACACTGTAATTTAATGCACTCGGGTTGGGTTTGGGCCCGGGCTGAGCTTAGGTTGGTCAATAAATCCACTCTAAAATTATACATATATAAATGTATTTATACAAAAAAATATATATAAATATGTATGCAATATATATATACACAAATATATATATATATATATAAATATATATGCAACATTTATATATATACACATATGTATGTATGAATGTTGGGCTAAACTCAGACCAAATTCGAACTACCTAAGCCCAAATCTGGCCTAAAAAATAAAAGAGCCTGATTTCTTGATTTCCTGCCCAAATTGCACCCCATACTTTTACCATTCCTCATGATTTGGATACACGTACAGAAGAATTCAGATCTGCTAGCGCTACTCACAGCGATCTCACATCATGTCCTGTCCGGAAACATTACTTGTATTTATTATTAATGGAAGAAGTAGGCAATACACTGGTGGGATATGGCTGTGAGGAGCGCTAGAGCAGATCCCAATTCCATTTAGAACGACGGTCAGAAGTTAGAACCATCACATTACGGCATTACTCGTGTTTGGCTGGTCAAACTACTCAAAAAAAAGAAGAAGAAAAAAAAAATACGGCAACAGCTAAGAACATGTCAGTTGAAATAGATCTACGCCTCACAAGGGACGCCCACAGTACATCCTCGCCGTGTATTGGAACACCTGGAGATGTTCCAAATGCACGGCGGGGATGTTCTTTTGGGCGTCCCTTGTGGGGCGCAGATGTGAACTCCGTCTATGTAGAACCGTAGAAGAGTCGTAGAAGGTTAAGGTGCTTACGGCGCACCTAGCCCATCATAGAAAATATTAGAAATGACGCATCTCAAACCATTTTTTATTCAAATTTCAAAATATTAAACAAAGGCCGTCGAGTATCGAGTAAGTTTCTTTTGGGGTGATGGAGCTGTTGAAAAAGGATTAATCTTCCAGTTCCACGCCATGATTGCAGACTTTTTAGTACAAGTGTACATGAACGACTGCTCCACTCCTTTTTTTTTTTAATATTTCATTTCTTTATTGTAATTTTCATTTACCTCCTGACTTCGTTAATTGCCTGTTTTCTCTCCATTGCAGAGAGCAGAGGTAGCTCTGATTCCCCTTGAATTCACAGTGAGAGGGAAGGTCAGTTCTTTAACTTATCTGGATTCTTCATTTCCCACTTCGTTGACTTTTATTTTCATTTGTTTCATTTTATTTTACTCTTTTAGCCTCTGAATCTGTCCATTGACGCATATAAACTGTAAACAAGGTTGATAGCAGAAGTGTTGGTTTTTTTCTTATTTTTGTTGAAAAGCTAGATCAAACTCTTTAAAAGGAAGAACGGGTTTGTTCTTCCGTTTGGGCCGGTGATGGGGATATCGTGTTTCTCTTTTTGGGAGCTCAGATGATTGTCGAGGTGCCATTTTCCTTCTCTTCTTTCTGTTATGTGTTTTGATTTCAGTTAGCTTTTGTGGTTTTGAAGTAGATTTCTTGTGTTGTAGTTCTTATGAACCCTAAGAATTTAGTTTTCGGCTGAAATCGAACGCTTTCTCCCGCTCTCTCGCCGCGCTTGTTTTCATTTTCATGATGGGTATTGGAGAACTTAAATTGTTTATCTGGATTTCATCCGCATTGTCTTTGGCATGTATCTCCATCGGATTTACTCCCGTGGACAATTACCTTATAGACTGTGGTTCACCAACCGATACGTCGATAGGGAATCGTGTCTTTGTTTCCGATAGCTCGAATTCCCAATTCCTTAAGACCTCACAGAGCATTTTAGCCAACGCCACTGTCTCCTCCTCCATTGTTTCGCCTCTGTACCAGACGGCTCGAATACTCAACGGAGTTTCCTATTACAACTTTCCAATCCAAAGACATGGGAGGCATTGGATTCGGCTTTATTTCTACCCGTTTGTCTATAAAAGCTACGATATGCGCACGGCAAACTTCTCCGTCTCCACTCAAGATTTCGTCCTCCTCAGCAATTTCCAGATAAAGAATGACTCTCTAATGAAGGAGTTCTCTGTGAATATTACTTCAGACAGCCTCGCCCTCGCTTTCACTCCTTCCGACCATTCATTCGCCTTCTTAAATGCTTTAGAAGTTGTTTCAGTTCCTGACAATCTCATTGTAGATGATGCCAATCAAATTAATCCTTTGAAAAGTTATCAAGGTTTGCTAGTACAGGCTTTAGAGACTGTTTGGAGGATCAATATGGGTACACTGGCCGTTTCCGCTCAGAACGATACCCTTGGCCGAACATGGATAACGGATGAAGCCTTTCTACGAAACAAGAATCTGGCCATACCGATTACAAAAATTGGGGCAGTCAAGTATTCGAATGACACAGTCACTCGGGATATTGCTCCTGATACTGTCTATGGCACTTGCAGACGGATGAATTCATCAGGTGATCCCAACAGCAATTTCAATGTAACATGGGAATTCAATGTCGATCCTGGTTTCGAATACCTCATTCGTCTTCACTTCTGCGATATAGTGAGTAATGCTGCTAACCAGCTCATCTTCAATGTATATATTAACTCACTGATTGCAGTTCAGGGTCTCGAACTCTCTACTTTGACATTTAATATCTTGGGTGTTCCAGTTTATAGGGACTTTGTTACAGGGTTAAGTTCTAGTAGCAAGATCGTTGTAAGTATCGGTCCTGATACCTCGACTGGTAGTTACCCAGATGGTATTTTAAATGGATTGGAGATTATGAAGATGAACAATTCTAAGGGTAGTCTTGATGGGGATGTCTCTGCAGCACTGTTTCCATCATCAGGTTCAAGTAAAAAAGTTGGTGTCTTAGTGGGAGCAATCCTGGGGGTGGTTATTGTACTGGCAGCTATAGCTCTATTCCTGATGTCTAGGAGAAGACGATTAGCACGAAAACAACATTCAAAGACATGGATTCCGTTCTCCACGAGTGGAGGAGGGAACTCCCTCAGCATGGGAAGTAAATCCTCTAATGGAACAGCCACCAGTGTTATCTCAAACCTTGAGTACCGATTTCCTTTCGTGGCATTGCAGGAGGCCACAAATAACTTCGATGAGAGCTGGGTTATTGGGGTTGGTGGCTTTGGCAAGGTGTACAGAGGAGTTCTTGGAGATGGCACCAAAGTGGCAGTGAAAAGGGGTAATCCCCTTTCCCAACAGGGTCTTGCAGAGTTTCAGACTGAAATCCAGATGTTATCTCAGTTTCGGCACCGTCATCTGGTCTCATTGATTGGTTATTGTGATGAGAGAAAAGAAATGATCCTAGTTTATGAGTATATGGAGAATGGAACACTTAAAGGCCATCTATATGGTTCAGGATTACCAAGCTTGAGCTGGAAACAGAGGCTTGAGATATGCATTGGAGCTGCCAGAGGACTTCATTACCTTCATACGGGTTCTGTAAAGCCAATCATCCACCGTGATGTGAAGTCTGCCAACATATTACTAGATGAGAATCTCATGGCCAAAGTTGCGGATTTTGGGCTATCAAAGACGGGACCTGAGATCGATAAGACTCATGTCAGCACAGCAGTGAAGGGAAGTTTTGGGTATCTTGATCCGGAATATTTCAGAAGACAACAGCTCACAGAGAAGTCGGATGTTTACTCATTTGGTGTGGTTTTGTTTGAAGTCCTCTGTGCAAGACCTGTTATTGATCCATCACTTCCAAGGGAAAAGGTGAACTTGGCCGAGTGGGCACTGAATCATCAGAAAAGGGGGCTGTTGGAACAAATCATAGACCCTAATCTTGTGGGTAAAATAAGGCTTGCTTCTCTGAGGAAATTTGGAGAGATAGCTGAGAAATGTTTGTCCGAGTATGGCGTTGATCGTCCCACAATGGGGGATGTGTTATGGAACCTGGAGTATGCACTTCAGCTTCAGGAGTCTGTGATCCAAAATGAACCTGATGAAGACAGTATTAATCAGATAGGGGATGTGTCCCCACTAATCAGCAATGTCAATCCCGTGGATGATACTGTCACAGCTGAGAAGGTGAGAGGGTCATCCGTGGGTGATCTCTCGGATGTTTCTATAAGTAAGGTATTCTCCCAGCTGATAAAATCTGAAGGGAGGTAGGCTGAAGTGAAGATACAAGATTGTAGCCATTTACACCAAGGCATTATCAAGTGGTATTGCATCTATCAAGGAGTAATTCTGTTTCTTTGTACAGGGAGAGGATTCTAGTAACATCTCTCAGTGTTTTGATAGAGGAAAAAAATATCTTTAATAGGTCACAATGTCAAAGCGTTGGCTCACATATAAATAGTTATGAATTACTTGTTTTGGGGAGACTTCTCGGGCAGTGGGCCTGTGGTGCATCATTCCATTCCATATACTCAGGCTGTGGTTTTCTTGATTGATTATGAATTTTTTCTTGAAGGACATGATATTTCTTGATACTCATGTAGTGTAATTACCTCTCTTTTCTCTTGGTATTGTAATAGTTTTTATTTTTTTTTCTGAAATTTGAACTTTGGCTAAAGCATATAGCCACATACATCAGAGATCAAGCATGTCATTCTTCTTCTACTATGTAAGTGCCAAGCTCTCTGTGGTAGATCATAGCTCTCTTCTAAAACGGTTGATCCTAAGAACCTACTTGGCTGCTTGATTTAAGCGAAAGATCTAGATTGATTAGTGAGGTTTTAAGGCTGCAAATCATATTGTACATCACAGTGTAGGGATTTCATAATTCGTTGTGTTCATTACAGTGTAGGGACACCTTTCATAATTCATACGCTGTACATTACAGCTTGGGGCATTGGGCTGGGTTAATCCCGCACCCAAACGATCTATCCTATATTTATAGGTGGATCTAAACTTTAAAACAATGTTTAAAACGCATAAGCATGACATAAGGTGGTTCACTAGCTGGATGCATGAGGGATAATTCAGAACGTAATAGGCATAAATCTCCTCAAGAGCAGGGGATGAGGAGAAGGAAGAATAGGATGGAGGATCTCATTTTTTTTAATAGTTTTTTTTATATTAACAAGAATGGATATGCATAACAATAGTTATAGGTGTAAAGTGGGCTGTGCCGTGCTGGCTTGCGGGCCGTTATGGGCTGTGTTGCCCTCCCCAGGAAAAAATTTGAGGGTCGGCCTGGCATGGCCCCCGACCCAAGATTGTATGGGCTCATGTCATGCCATGTTGTGGGTCGAGTCTTGGGCCAAGTCAAGCCGTGCGTCGGGTCAAAGTTATTTATTTAAACAAATTTGACAAAAAACTTAAAATTTTAATTTTATATGAATTTTGTGTATACAATTGCTTATATATATAATAATTAAATAAATTAGTATAATAAAATTTTAAAAATTATTTATTTTATTAATATATTATATATTAAATTATATATAGTATAATAAAATTAAAATAAATTAGTATAATAATTAAATATATTATATTATTATATAATATTATACAAATTATATATAAATATATATAATATATGGGCCGTGTTGTAGGCCGTGGTTGCGGGTTGCCTGCGGGCAGCACAACCCACTCAATCATACCGTGTCATGCTAGCCCGTGGACCTAAAACCCCATACCCAATATGGCCCGCATGATCGTGCCAAGCCTAACACGGCCCGTGAACCATCAATGCCAAACCACCGACAATATGACCCGATTTACACCTCTAAGAATAGCTGAAAGGGCATTGAAAAGAGGTTGGGGGTCAATCCATTTGGGCCCTACCCACTTTCTTTCCCATTATCTTTTTTCTATTCCTTTCGTTTTTTCTTTTTCTTTTCCTTTTCTTTCTTCTCTCTTTTTATTCTTCTCTTTCTTTTTTCTTTATTTTTTTTATCTTTTTGTATGAGGTGTGCATAACGTGCATTGCATGAGGCCTACATCTCTAACACGCCTCAGACGCCTCTTGCACCTAAAGTGTACGACTGTACGCCTTAAAGTATCAACGCCTCTGGTGTATGGCTCAGCGCATTTTGGGGGCGCCTCACCTCACCTGGAGGTCCGCCTTTTAAAACACTGGTATAAACACCAGTCAGTCACCATGTTGTCAGATTCCACTTGTGAGAAGTTTTTAATTTATGGTGAGAAAACAAAATAGTGTGCTTGGGCAATTGTCATTAAACCGGCCAGAGTCGTCCTTAGTTGTAAGTTGTAACCTAGAAATGCAGCTGAAAGTTAATTACCCACTCCTATGGCCTAGCTAGGTTCAGTCAACTTCATCATTCAAAATCTCGAAACATATGGACGAAGGTGGCGCTGAGATCTAGAGGCCATCTGTTTATAGAGAAGCACATGGATACGATGCAGAAAATCAAAGACAAGTCATCAAGGTTCTTTGATTCTTTCTTTAGTTTCTTTCTGATACGTCAAACTTTAGAAGGAAAGAGGAACACGAAACCCCCCTTTAGCCTTTTGCTTTGTATTTTGGTAGTATAAAGTCATCCCAATACCCAAATCCCCAACAAATCATTAATGTATGCAACTTCCATTCCAGGATGATGCATTTATACCACGGCCACGCTAGTCCGCATGCTACCACTTACCAGTACCCATCCAATTGAAAAGGGTTGCCGAACAAAATCAAATCCAACTGAACACGGAACTAACTGGAATTGGGCTGGGCCCATTTCCATCATTTTACACAATTACAACAACACCCATGTCATTGCTCAAGTTGGCCATGCTCATATTACAAAAAGTGTTAAATAAGGATAAGAAGACGAAACCGTAAATAAAGTGTTCATAAAGGCTAAAAGGGATCGATCAAGTGAATGAGTTATTGATTTGTCTATTAGGACATGACATAATAAAATATTGGAGGCTATATTTTCAACCTTCCATAAAAAGGAGCTTTCGACCTACTTATTGGGTATTAAAAATAGGGCAAACTACACTGGGATGTGGGCCACTACAGAGGCCCATAATGACTCAGTCCATTGGTGATTCTCCAAGGGAGAGCTTATTCAGGATTGTCTCAAGATTGTAAAGGATGCTGAGTGGGAGATAAACTGTTTAGCCAATATAGATTCTGGTTTTGAGCTTAATAGGTGTAATCCTTCTTAAGCAAAAACTCTTTACACGCATATGCCACTTTGATGTTATCTGTGCAAAGTGTGTGACAAGTTGTCTAAATGTAACCCCGTCTTTTTAAGCATTAAAAAGCTCTTCGCTAAAAGACAACAACGAATCTTTCAATTTGATAACAGTTAGAAGTTGCTGAACTGAAAGACTTTCTGTTTTATCTTTTAATTGTCAAAATAATTAAATAATAAAATTTTCAAGGATATAGATATAGTGGTCTACCCAATTTGAGTTTCGGTCATTAACAAACCCACAGCCTCCTTATGTCATATTTATTAAAGACAAAACGATAATCTTTTTCAGTTATCCAGCTGTTATCAAATGGCCCCTTCGGCTGCTACTAAATAGCCCCAGGGCTTCAAATAGTATCCGTTTGTCCAAATTGTGAATTTGAATTTGAATCTACGATCCGATTAAGGTGATCCGAATTTTATCTCAAAAGTTTCTACTTGGTTTGCATGTCATGTATGAAATCATAGCTACAAGTTATTTTTAAGCCATTACACTTGTAAGTTTTTTTTAAGGGAAATTTTCATTTTACTATCCTGAACTTTGGGGTAGTGTCAAGTATCCAAACATTTAAATATATCTAAACTTTTAAAAAGTGTTAAGTTGGTCCCTACCATTAACCAATCGTTAGTTATCTATTAAAAATGTCAAAACTATCATTCAAAAGAAGATACTATTCATTGTCTTCTACCCTGAGATTGAACCGGTTGAGGTGTTTGAGATTCTAGACTAATGAAATAATTGTCTTCTACCTTTATATCTGAAACGCATTCTTGTCTAGTTATTTCTTTGCTTTCAATTATTGTTTCCCTCTATCATATTTTATGTTTTTTCTCTCTTATTCTTTGAAGATAATCGGTTCAGTCTCAAGGTAGAAGACAATGAATAGTGTATTCTTTTGAAGGGTAGTTTTGACATTTTTAATAAATAACTGACAATCAATTAACGACAAGGACCAACTTGACACTTTTTTAAAGTTTAGGTATTGCAATGATACGTTTGAAAGTTTTGATACTAACTTGACACTACCCCCAAAGTTAAGGGTACTAAAGTGGAATTTTCTCTATTTTTAATTCATATTATGATGAGGGGTGATTTGGCTCAACCTAATAAATGAAGGACACGTGGACACGACCTGCCAGCAGGACGACAAATCAGCAAGGAGAGCCTTGTCAACAGTTCGGGAGCCCGGGTATTCGAGTACCTCAGTACCAAAGCCACTTCGACAATCAAGTACCGAAGTGACACGTAATTTGACTCTAGAAGCTTCTCAGCGGACTCCGAATCTCCGAGGATCACACCGCGTAATAGCAGGCCTTATCCTCTCCCCGCCCGAATCGGAAGGAAACGATAAACTTCATTGATTGATATGTTACTCTCCTTCTAAAGCGGAATGGATTCCATCTGCACGGGCAGAGGATCCCGGATCCGTTTCGTGAGACCCACGACAACTCAACTATATAGGGGGCATTGACCCCCAAGACCCAAGTACGCGTGATTAAGTGCATTTTATCTCTCCTATTTCTCAAACTCTCAGCTCGCATATCACAGTTACTGACTTAAGCACCGGAGCGACCTCACCGGGTTAGCCACCCCGGATTCTCCGGTCATCCCTTTCTTTGCAGTTCAAGCGACCTACTTGCCAACGGACGTCCAAGTTGCCCTACAGCTAGGAGTATCCAAATCATGCACCATCAATTGTCACCGTCTGTGGGAATGATCGAAAGGTCATTCCACATTTCTCCTCCTATTTTACCTAATCTCAATATCGATGGCATCTTCTAGTAGCACCGAAAGAGGTATCGACACGAACGTCACCGAGGGCAAGGCCAATAGCCTCGGGGATCCCATCACTGTCTGTACCACAAACCACTCCGCAAGTGAATGTCCCTCTCCCCCAAGTGAATACCACCTTCTTGGAGGCCTCCATGATTCCACCAGGGGTTGAACATTCTCAATTCAATGACCTCGTTTAGTGCATTCGAGCGATGCAGATCCAGATGCAACAAATTCATCAGTTTCAACGTTCCAGCAACATTACTTCTATCAATAGTACCAGCAGTATTTTCCACTATTGCAACTGAACCAACAACAGTTTTCGCCTCAACTCGCAGGTCAGAACCAACACCAGCACAGGGCACACCAAAGCGTCCGCCGATCTCCTCATTGGGGTGAGGTGACCTTGCAAGTACCGGTCCCTCCCAGGGGCCAAACCACACCTCGGGGGTCAGACGGACGGGTAGCATACTCCCCTAGTCTCTCAAGGGGGGAACCTGAAGGACAGGCTCGAGCTCAACCAGCCCGAGAGGAATAGTCAGCAGCATACGCGACCAGAGAATGATGATCGTCATCTCGGGGCCCGAGGAGCGGGCTCAAGGCGAGACCCCTCGGCACCCCGTGATAGCCAACGTCGGTCTTGCGATGAAGAAGAAGCGAGAAGGACCCCTGAACCACCTCGCCCCAGCATT